TAATAAGGACTTTTAAGCCAGCAGCTATAACATCGCTGCTAGAGCCTGCATCAAGAACTAGGAGATTTGATGCATGTAATGTATGATTCTTTAACAGCCTTACTCTCGTGCTTTTCTTGTAGCAATACACCTTTAGATTGTAGCTTCTAAAGGATTGGCTCAGCGTGGTTAAGGGACAGAGGGTAAATTGACCTGGGATGTGTGGTTGGTTTCTTGGAACCGGACAGAACTTGTTCAGGGAAGGTGAGATTGGGTGCTAGACCCCTCACCTGTGTATGAGGCCCAGGGTCATCTGGGGCATGGATATTGCTGGGGTGTTGGAGAAGTTTTGCTCAAGAGGCTTCAGGCAGGCAGCTGAAGCGCTCTGTGGGACTGGTTTGTGGCCTATTTGGAAAGGTCACCAGTCTGAGGGCTGTAAGGAGCCCCGTATTGAAGTCTGGGGGCTGTAAGGAGCCCCGTATTGGAGCAATTTGCCCTGAGCGGACACCTTCAGCTGTGCCCAGACCTGGCACGGTTCGTCACAATGATACATCCTGAAGATGGTCTTCTACAGCCTCTGTGAACAAGCTAGCTATGTCTAGACTACATTCCTCTTTCAAGAGGAATGTAAATGAGGCAAATTGAAAGTCCAAATGAAACGTGGATTTAAATATCCTGCGCTTCATCTGCATGTTCGCGTCGAGTAATTTTTCAAAAAAGGGTTTTTTGAAAGTAAAAGCGCGTTCTAGACGTGGTTCTTTCAAAAAAAAGAAACAAAACAAAACAAAAACCCTTTTTTGAAAGAACCCGTACTCCTGAAAAAATGTGTATGGGTTATTTTGAAAAATGTTTTTTTCTCCGAAAGAACTGCATCTAGATTGCGCTTTCACTTTCGAAAACCCCTTTTTCAAAAAAGCACTCGGACGCAAATATACAAATGAAGCATGGGATATTTAAATCCGTGCTTCATTTGCACTTTTGATTTGCCTCCTTTACATTCCTCTTTCGAAAGAGGAATGTAGTTCAGATGTCCCCAGAGAGTGCTTTCTAGGTGGCCAGAATAAGCATTATAAAATTATATTAAAGGCCAACATGAAGTCATGTGGCATATCTTCTAGTGACCTGGAAATCACAGCTCTGGACGGATTGTGTTCGTAGCAAATTATTATACAAGGCTCTCAAAACATTTGAGAGCCAATGTATTCAGACATGTCAAGCCAAGTGCAGGATCCAAGAGGAGTGACAACACTCACAGATCGCAGATTTTAATTATGACAGCTATAATCAGCTTTGCCAATCGAGGACTGGCTTAGTCGCTCACCAATGACTTCATAGAAGATGAGGTTTGTTAACTGATGGCTCAGTCCATACATACATTAGTGCATAATATACATATATGTGCTCAAAGGATTTAATGTTAATCATGAGTAATTGTGAGATTAATTGCATTGTTAAACAATAATTTATTTAACTATTTGAATGTTTTCTATATTTTCAGATATTGATTTTAATTACAACACAAGGAAACGAAGTATAGCATGCTCACTTCATATTTTTATTACAAACATTTGTGGTGTAACAACAGTAGTTTTAAATTCACATCATTCAAGTATTGTAGTGCAATCTCTTTATCACGAAAGACGTACCCTCCTGCAGGTTTGCACAATTGTTTACACAGTAATATCCTTACTTGTTATTTATTAGCAATTGCCAAGGAAGCAAAATACACATGCTAAGCATACAGCGCCATGCTCAAAAATACTGATAAAGGCAGGTGAACTTCGCCTGTTGGCCAGGCAAGGTCAGTCTAGTCTGGATCCTGGTTGCTCCACTGCATGTCACAGTCATGCAGAGTAGTCCTGGCAGATCATCAAAGGGAAATAATGAAGCAATATTCCAATATTCCTGAACAATATTAGCATCTCTCTTGGACATAAAAAGAAACCCAGGACAATTGTTCAGGCAGAGAGTGTGGATGCAACATCAGTGAGGAAGAATTCAAAGAATAAAATACAATGTTTGGTGGATAGAGATGAGAGGGTGTTCCAAACCTCGTGAGCAGTAGGTCAATAAAGGGATATTATTAAGTATGTGCCCAAAATCTTGAATGATATACAATTATAATAATCTGTCATTCCAATTTTAAATGTATTTATTTAAATGCAAGTATTTTTTGTGTTTTACTTTCTCATCAATAATCTCCACCCCGGTTAGCGTGCAACCTTAATAAGTTTCAACAATGCAGATGTGCCATGTTTTTATACGGAATTCTATTTTATGGAATATATATAGCCAATCTTTGTCTTAGTTAGTTGGCATTTAAATGTTAAAAGAGCTGATACAGCAGAATAAAAATGTTTTGATAGTATTCATCATAGGGATGTGAAGTAGCAATTAATTTCCATAGACTACTCGACTAGTTGATAAGCACTTCTGCGTTCCACCTTTGAAACATACAAGAGATCCAGCAGGGGCTGTTGTACATTTCAAAGTGGAAGTGCTGGCGTGGAGCCCAGAGTTAGCAAGACTTCCCGCCGGCCACAGACTACACGCAGCATTCCAACTTTGAAATGCACAAGAGTCCCCAGTGGGGGCTCTTGTGCATTTCAAAGTGGAAGTGCCCACATGGAGCCTGGTGTCAGCAGGGAACAATGAGTTCCCCGCTGATCCCACGCTCCATGCTGTGCTTCCTCTTTGAAATGCACAAGAGTCCCTGCTGGGGACTCTTGTACATTTCAAAGCTGGCATGCCACATGGAATCTGGGGTCAGCTAGGGCGTCCCCAGCTGATCTCAGGGTCCATGTGGTGCTGCTGCTTTGAAATACCACGAGGAACCTGATGCTGGGCTCCCTGTGGCATTCAAGGCAGCAGTACCACATGGAGCAGTGACCCCAGGCTCGAGGTGGTGCTGCTACTTTTAAGTATCCCTCTCTTTTCCCTGCTGCTTGCTGCCTTTATGTGATAGTCCTTTACATCCCTAATTTATCACAGATAATACTAAAATTGTATGCTCCCCACACACACTTTACTGGTCTTCGAGTCGTCGTGTGTTTCTTTCAATATATATACAAAGGCAATATTTTAGCCTATTTTCTGTGTCACACATTTCTCTTATTGTAAAATACAGTCGTTCTCAAATTCTGTTACACTGATCTGCAGAGCTTTTGCTATTGTTCTACCTAAACCTGGCTAATAGTGCTTGCTCCTTGTTTCCAGCGGATAATTTAAAGCACAATAATCATTGAACACTAGGGTTGGAAGAAACTAGGCATGTTAATCATTTAATATGGTCACTAGGTAACCGCTAAAATAATTAGTAGTTACATGGTTACTGGTGCTGCAGACTCTACAGTACAAAAATATACTGCAGCGCTCATAGCAGAGGCTGTCAGGGAGCAGGGCCACTGGCTGCTGCCTCAGCAAAGCTTCCTGCGTGGGAACTGAGCCAGTAGCCCTTGCACCCCCAGCCCCAGCTCCTCAGGGAGAAGGCTTCACTGCTCTGCTTCACCTTCCTGAGAGGCCGCTGAGTTTAAACAATACCATTAATGGATAAGCATCAGCTTATCAGTTAAACAGTTAAACTCTAACACCTCTACACAAGACCTCAGGAAGTCATCTAGTCAAGATGCCTGCTCAACCCAACTAAATCACTAAACGAAATAATACAGTAACACTTTACAGGTACTTTTCTACATCAGCAAGATGTCCCATGAGGGAAGGGGGTTGGACTTAGGAGTTGGATAGGAGATGGTCCATGACTCTTTCAATTAAAATGTAAATTACATAATAAAAGGCATAAAGTTTTTCTCCCCCATAATCCCTTTTCATCTCAAAACATTACAGACACTTGCCCCCATCCAAATGCAGCCTCCTTGAAAGTGACAACCAATTAGTGAAGGGAATTGGAAACTTACGGACTGTAACCTCTTCGAGGCAGAGACCGTTTTCCCCAGGTGCCTGCACAGCACCCGCCACGCTGAAGTACTCGCCCATGCATGGAGCTCTCGGTGTTACTACCAGGATGGTTTAGCCAATGATGTGGGGACAAACCCCCCAGTGGGACAGGAAGCGCCCTAGAAACGAGAATACCCCGGGGCCACCGGAGCGGATTTCCCAGGGTCCCCTAGGGACGATCTCCCCAGCTACCCGCCCACACTGCGAGAGGGCTCAAGGCGGCTGCGGAGCGTAGCAGCAGGACGGGGCCCCTGCCCAGGCACTGGCGTGGTTTAGCCAATGATGTGGGGACAAACCCCCCAGTGGGACAGGAAGCGCCCTAGAAACGAGAATACCCCGGGGCCACCGGAGCGGATTTCCCAGGGTCCCCTAGGGACGATCTCCCCAGCTACCCGCCCACACTGCGAGAGGGCTCAAGGCGGCTGCGGAGCGTAGCAGCAGGACGGGGCCCCTGCCCAGGCACTGGCGGTAGGTGCGTGGGGCGCCCCGCTCCTGCTGGCCCGAGGCCCCTCAGCGCCCGGGATCTGCTCGGCTTTGGCCGGGCGTCAAGAATGCCCCATTGTCCGGCTGGCCACGTGACGTCAAAGGAGGCCCCGCCCCAGGCCGCTTTACGCTGAGGAGGGGGGCGAGGGGCGCATGCGCCTTGTGCGGTGCCGCTCTCCC